ACTTGCACACTCCCACGAGCGCACTCGCGCCCTCCCACTGGTGTACTCGCCCTCTTGCACTGGCACACTCGCACAATCTCACTGTCCCATTTGCACTGCACCCGTGAACACTGCAAAATTGCACTCGTACTCACACACTGGCAATGTCGCTCTTGTACTTTCTCACTCTCTTAACCCTCTCGTACGCGCACTCCCTCTCCTGCACTTCCGCGCTCTCACATCTTCGCTCTTACGCACTCTCTCACTTCAGCATGATCATGTACACTCGCTTACACTCGTACAATTTGCACCTCTTGTATCATAACAATAAAAATATTAATTTTCAAAATTTGCCTATAAAAAGATAATCTATTAATAAAATAAAATTGAACGCAAAAATTTGGCGTAGTAAAGAGTACTCAAATTATGTTAATTTAAATATGTTTACAAAGTTAGAAACATATGCCAAAGATCCTTCATGGATTATCGAATTGATTTTATCATGGCAACATTTTTGACAATAGAATATAACCTACCCTAACCCACATTCTTGATTCTTACTAATCACCATTATTCAGAAACAGAATTTATAGGATGTTGCAGAAACATCAATCAATCAAATAACATCTTCATAGGCATATTACAGTAGTCTCTCTTGCTGGTATGAACCTCGATCGTTCGACATTCACTGGAAAACTAAAAACTGTATCGGAAGTCAAAATATTGCGCTATAGCATTCTACAATACTGTACATTATTGATTAGCAAAGTAAGTACATTGTGTGTACGTTGATATATTTTTAATTCTCGAACAATCTTGGATCATAAATATAACCTCATATACTCGAAATTGTGTACTGCATTTTCGGGGCTGGATGGTGCGGTGTTCCTTTGGAGTGGAGAGTGTACCCTTAAAATTCGTACAATCTACTGTAATTGTGCGTCGTATAGATGAGTATGCATTCATTCTATCGTTTTACAGTAATGCCCTATTCATCATTTTTTCAATCTCGGCACAACTTTATGCAACACAAGTAACGCGTGTCTTCTAAAACTGCAATATACACAAATAGTTTATCTCATTGTATCAATGAATCAGAAAATATTTTTAGTAAATACGTATTCATGAGAAATATAGCAATCTTACAATACGATTCCATAATTTCTACGAAACCAACGTTAATCGTGCTAACAACAATGTTAAGCATTCTATAAAATTCAATTTCCCACTAGAAATATTTATTATGTTTAAATCTAAAACTACGCTGCTATTATTGTCCATCACTTTAAAATTGAAAACGTCCCTCACGAACCTGATAGCAAAAACATGATTTTCATGACAGTACGATAGATAGCTAGGGGGAATACATAAAAGTATAATAAATTATAAGTGTCCCTGCGCAGGTATGAACCTATCTGGCACGTGTTGAATTTTGGCGAGTTATGAATGTGACGTAGTACAGATAAATGTCATAAATTTGCATTAAAGCAATGCATAGATATGCAACTAATGAAAAACGCGTCCTCTGTAGCAGAGTGATGCTCGCCAGTGAGAAACCGAATTGTGATGCATGGTTGATATCGATTCGATCGGAATGCGATTGCATACGAGGCCAATCTCCCGACCTCTTTCTGCGAGCCCACCAAACACAAAGCAAGTGCAGTCCTGCAAATCAGTATGGAAGCTTGAGACCCGAGTGGTTAGGGCCAGGAATGTGACCTGCGACCAAATAATTGCAATTAACTACTTCCAATTCCCATTGGAATTCGCGGGGAGATGTAAGCGTGCTAAATTAAAATCAGCGGTTCGAATTCAATTCGTACATTGACCATTTTAAGAGCTAGACTAATAGGCAATGTGCTTGTGACAATCGAGCTAATGTAATTAAAACCAGTAACTGCCACGTACACTTACAATTCAATTAACAATAGAACACATTGCAGTAAATTTGCAGCGTGATGTAATTGAATTAGGCACAACCTTTCTCTGTCCTCTCACAAATTCACTACCCTAGTGTAATTATTCTTTTTTACTAATTTTCTGGATGTGGTTTTGCCCAAACCATTCATTACATGTTCTTCCCAAAGCGAAATCTCAGATAATGTGAAGTAATTAAAGAAATTAATGTTAGTAATTTCTACATACGAAACAATTCAATTAACAGCAGTCTGCATTGCAGCTAATTTATGGCACGCAATGTAATTATGTCACAACTATTTCTCTGAATTCTGAAATGTTCACGAATTGCACTATTACTACTGAACCTTGTCTTTTGCATGAATATTAGAACAAATGATCGCTAGTATTTCTCATGACTAAATTTCAGAAAGATAAATGATACTGTCATACCAAAGAAATCAATATATTTTAAAGCCACTGAACATAATTACATTATTTCCGTTCTTAATTGCAATTTAAAATTCCATTAACCCATTTATTCCAAATAAATTCTGAGCAATGACAAGTTCAAAAATATGTGGTTTTGTTTTAATTTCTGAAGCAGATTATCGCTGAGCTAAAAAATGTGCATTTTTTAATAATAATTACTCTGAGAAATGTGTCATCAATTTTTATCCAAAGAAATATTCGAAGAAATGAACCCCGTAAAACAATCGACGTTTACTGTTCTTGTGCGCTAACACCTATAACCAAGTTCTGCGCCAGACAAAACGTTAAAAATAATAATTTGTAGATTATTGGTACTGAATTATGTCAAAAAAGAAAAAATATTCAAATGGAAAAGGTTTGAAAACCTATTTCTACACTCATTGATATGAAGTTATTCTTATCGATTTTTCAATCACTGATTACGTTAGTTCCAACCCTGTGCTACTGGTCTGCTACTTCCCACGTTCTTTCCTCTTTCTCCTATACTCCGTCTTTTGGCGAGCTCGTTCTTTCTCTTCTGTGTTTATCGTTTTTGTTTATTTCCCTACTTATAGAATGTTCACTTCACGACGCACGACTCAAGACCAGTCTGAGATAGTTTTAATTCTAACTGCCTATTACCAATCTTGTTACACACTTTTCTTCCTATTCTTATTCCTTTTCTTCCTAATCTTCATATGTGCATACCATTTTTATTCGCACGATTTAACTTTTTCTTTGTTTCTATTCTACACTTCTTCCTCCTTCTTTTATTCATTTTTTTTCACTTTCTTCTTCTTTTATTCTCCAATACTTTATTTTACTCACTCCCTCTATTTTTTGTCTCTTTTACTATCATTTGAACCATCTGTTGCATGCAGTCGGATTATGGGTAGAATTTTTGTTATATAGAATAATACACTACTTGTGAGGAGAAAATTGGAGAGAAACCCTTAGAGAAAGTGGATAAAGTATTTAATAAATAAAACAATAAATGCTACATAAGTACATCTTTCTAAAAGTGAAGACCTCCAAAAATACGTTCTTTACTGATAATAAAGAGTTGACTCCAGAAAAAGTTGCGTAGGTTCTGATTCAATGAAAACTATGATCCAAGTTCAAAGCTGCTTTAGAGCGGTGAATTGTCGGACTCTTGTCGAAAAATTTTCAATGTTTCTCGTCACATTCTAGTCCGATTTGTTTTACCAAGGAACGACACCCCCACTCCTTTGATTCGTATAAGTGACCCAGACCATTCAGAGACATACCTTGGCGGAAAACTAACAAATAATTAAATAAGTGTCTTTATTTGTGGCGAAGCTCAGGCCATATGGCATGCTCTCCCGTCTCACCACTTTCAAAAGTTTAATCAGTAGTACGTAATAAAAAGGAGATCATTCAAACACATACGTACGCAATAATCAGAAAGGACTTCACACAAAGAAGACTTCTCATGGCAACAGTGAATAAGAGGAAAGAGGTGTTCTTGAGAAAGGCTCACACTTACAGCATTTGTGTGATTATATTTATTAACTTTAAGTTTGAGATGGGTTTAAAATTAATGAGAAATGTTTCTGGTGATTTCATTTAAATAATCTACGAGATTTTCTTAAATATAATGAAATTAACTTTGTACGACTTAGCAATCTGGGAATAAAAGAGGATTGACAATAAAGCGTTTTTCTCAGTGAGAAGTTAGTAAGCACTACTAAAGCGAATGTAGGAGTGAAGTATCGTAGTAGTGGGCAACGATATGAAGCTAAATTAAAAAGTGCCAAATAATATAGGGTAATGACTTCCCGATACACAAAGACACACAATGATACTTCATGTCCCAATCAAACACATAATGAGTTTCCTACCAATCAGCGGCCAATTTAAGATGTGTGACTTAGTTACCAGATTTCTTGCGTCTCCAATGAAAAAAGTGAGAAAATTTGACCTCTGCATGCCCTAGAAGTTTGTAATATTTATTTTAAAACATTCGATACAACAGTCGCATTTTTTTGCAGACGGCACCCAAAATAGCGCCTAAACAAAGCAGAAGCACAAAGCAAAACTTGCGGCGGAACTCTGTCATGCATAATATACTTCAGGTTAATTTCGATGCTCGGAACCGTTCCAAGTAGCATCTAATTGGCGGCAAATTAAATCCTCGAAAACGTTCGGAGCTTGGCAGAAAATTTGAAAGTCGAAACCGTTCCGAACAACGTGCACTTGACGGTAAATCCGACGCTCGGAACGGTTCCGAGCAGCGTGTACGTGGCCGTAAATCCGACGCTGGGAACCGTTCCGAGCAGCGTCTACGTGGCCATAAATCCAACGCTCGGAACCGTTCCGAGCAGCGTCTACGTGGCCGTAAATCCGACGCTCGGAACCGTTCCGACCAGCGTCTACGTGGCGGTAAATCCG